TAAGATAATAATAAATAACAATGATAAAGGCTTAAAAAAATAACTTCTTCCACTTAGAATCAAAAACTCATTAGGCTTTATAAAATGTAAATAACTTCACGAAACAAAATTAAAAATAGACATCATAAATAATGCAATTACAGTAACAGTGCAATATATATGTTTTAAGAATAAATTATGCATCTAATGTTTTTAATGTACATTACTATAATACCCAATTATAAAAAAATAACTTTATAGGTATAATTTTTAACAATACTCAAGACATTCCACTAATGTATAAATAGTTTAAAACTAAAACCATTAAAAAAAAAACACATAAAATTTGTCATAGGTATATGATATCATGATTCAAATCAACTTACGTCGTAGCATTATAAAAACAACGTGTGGTAAAAACAAAACAAAAATGTTTTGAGTTATACTGCAGACTATAAATAAAGAACAATTAAAACAATTGTTAAGAATTTATATTGAAATTTAATTGCATTTATATTAAATTTTTAATGATATTATATTATCGAAAACACAACAGGTCATGTTTTCAAAATCTAAATTGATGGGAAATACGATATTAGTAGCAAATAAGTACAAATCATCATCAGTCTCACTACTATAGTCTAAGTTAGCACATCCTTGGAACTTCTAAATTATGTAAATAATATTATCTCGAACAAGGAATTTATTTGCTAAATTAGTAAACTGTAATAAACTACAATAATAATTCTAAGTTTTAAAAAAAATAAATTATTACACACCTAGGTACTTACTTTTATTAAAGCCGTTGTAATTCGATAATCAATTTTCTTTATTTTAAAATAGCATGCTTATTAACATTTATTTAGGATATTTTTTAACACGACTATTAAGTATGTTAGTTTCATAAATTACATTATCAGATTATAATATTAAGTTAATAGTTGTTATCATGCAAAGAACTGATTGCCTTTTACAAATTAACAGTATTCAGTTCGTTGAAAAAAATTAAAGCGTTTAATATAATTACCTAAGCTCTGTTCATAATGGTTTTATACAGTAATGTTGAGAAACAAGTTAAGTTGAATGGGTGACTGGGACAGGTGTTTCCTTTTTAAATTTGAAAGCAACGATAAATGAAATAATAAAAAAAATGTTACGTGCGCTTACTTACAATTTTCCAGAAAAAAAAACTGAGAAAAAAAAGGTATTAGGAAATTAGAAATATTACCTCTTTAAACTTTAATCCCTATAGAGTACCACCCTCGGTGTTTAATTACATGATTACAGAGGTACATATATTTACATCCATAAGAGCTTTTGTAATTAAAAAAAATAATAATAACGCATCATTATTGTAAATCTGATCGGAATCTGAACTATAATATTATAATCAAAACACAAACAAATAATGATTGGTGAATAATATAATGTAAATTTATTATGGATTTATTTATGAATTATTAAAATATAAAAAGTAAGTTATATTGTTTGATAATCTGAATTCTGAATATTTTATTTCTTTTTATACAAATATGATTTTATAATACATTTTTTTTTTGTTATTTTCACTTAAATTCAGATTATTATTTTTTTATTTATACTCTACATTTATAATTTTTATTTGATATTATAATTTTATATTGAAGTTACTAGAGGGGTTTTTTTGTCAATAATAGATTAACTTCAACGCACTTCAGAAATTCAATGCAAGCAGCTTCCGGGCTCAAATTTATAGTATACCATTAAGTTAACGACATCATACAACCCTCTCCCTTTTTATTTGTATTTTATTGATTGGTCCCAACTTACTCAAAAGGTAGCAGTTTCTTTTACTTCATATGAAAATGTCCGAATAGCATTCATAGTATGTATTGTATATAAAAAAAAAGTTCCCGAAAAAGAAAATAAGAGAAATATCATAGGTTCTCGGTCCTAATACATGCTAAATGTTGAATTATTATCATGCTATTGGAACGTGATAAAACACGATTTTAACTGTACACAAATAGAGTTCAATGCATTATTAAAATATTTTAATGGTAAAAACTCACAATAAAGTAGAATCTCTACAACGTCTATTATAGGTAGGCAATATATTCCATAAGTACAAAATAAAACGACAATGGCCGACTAAACCATAATACGGTATCGTGCTTACCTACACTTGACGAGTATCAGTTGAAATATTTAATGAAATATTGTCTCTTGCAGAAGAATTTCCACCCGGATGGACGGAAAAATGCATTGGATGCATGTGCGAAGCGTCTTCCGGATGCAATCAGACACTGGAATGCATGGAACAGAACGAAGTTAAATATTGCGGTGTGTTCCTGTTGAGTGACGTTTATTGGCAAGACGCCGGTACGCCAGTGCTCCAAGGAGACGACCCCAACCGAATCGGAGGTACGCTGCGTCGATGTTTCAAAAAAATTATATAATGTCTCGTGCGCTCGCATCGACAAACTGCATCATAATGTTATTGTCATGTCACTGTACATTTTGGGAAACTTTTCGTTTCAGCGTTCGAAAGGTGCGTCAGAGACCCGTACTGTGCAGCCAGAGCCGTAAATCAGTACATACAGAGATACGCAAAGGTATTGGATCTTATGGGTCGAGAACGATATCATGATAATGTCGTTTAAGTTTTCTAAAAGTGCAATTTTTTTCGTTTTTTCTCTAGTCCCGGTCGAGTTACAAAGCTATAATAATATATACACATCTACTTTCTTTAACACTTATGTGCCAAACTTAGACTTAAACTAACTCAGACTAACCTCTCATACCTATATATATAGACCCACGCGTGGTCCAACGCATTTATTATATTTTTTAGAACCACAATTGTACCCAATATCGTGATATTAGCGTTTTGATTATAGTTAAGTACCTCTTCCTACGCATACTTTATTTACCATTGTTTAAACACACTAATTATTGATTCAATGTTGCTATTGAATTGTGATTTGAAACGCCCAATTATTAAAAAAAAAAAAAAACATCCTCAATTAATCGTACAAGTAACGAGTATATTATATAATAATTATTATATTATTTGTGCAGCATAACAGACTATTGGTATTTTCTATATCATTTTTAACAGTTGCCCAACATAATTTTATGTTTAATGGATATTATTTCACTAGATGTTGTTCCTCGATTTATCAGCAATCCGCACAATATATACACAATATCATATATTAGATGCTAGCGTAGATATTGCAGACTAACATTTATACCAGGCAATAATTCATAAACGCTTGGTTTTTTATAAAAATGTCTAGTGCTTTTTATTAATGGAATTGCACTGTACGTAGGTACGACCTATGACCATATAGGGTATTAAAATGCAATTCCACTAAAAATACTGATTACAGATGAAATTGTTTAAAATCGTAAATCAGTGCATATTTTGCTACTCAGTTTAAAGTATATTTTCCAAACCTAAAAACTACTAAAATAATATTTTTTATATATTGTCACGTATTCATTCCGATAGCGGATAGGTACTCAGAATTTCGACAATATTTTTAAAATAACCGATAATCACACTTTTATAATAACCACTGATTATATTTTATTGCCACAGACCACGAGGTACCTAAATAAATCGCCATCAAATGAAACGTTAACGTTGTAAAAAACATAACTTTATCATGTGTTTCTTTGGTTCTTATACTAATTTTATTCGTTTCGTAGAATGTTATTATGTTGCTTTATAATTTATATAATAATTAAATTGCGTACAGATTAAAATTAATATTTTTTAAATGTTATTTCTAATCTGTCATAAAAAAAAACACGTAGTTAACATGATTATATCTAAATCTATCAATTAATTTCAAATTCTCGTTAACCAACACAATTTATGAATTTTAATTTGACTCAATGCTGTGTGCGATTTATTAAAAAAATTATCTACATACTTAAGTGTCTAGTGCAGTCTTATCTCATAAACCACGCTATCGTTTTTCTTACTAGAAACTTCTTTAAACACGTATTAACAATCTTAACTCATATTATCCTAACTGGCATCTTAATAAAAGTAACTAGTTATTAGCGTTTTCCTACATTATAAAATATAAATGCGTATATTTTCGATATGTATGCATAAGTAAATTAAACATTGTTACATGCAAATAATCAATAAACTCGAAACAAATTAGGTGAATTTTGTTTTTTTTTTTTGCATTTTATCAAATAAAATAAAATTTAACTGTATTAAATTAAATTCAAATGATTATTACATTTAAGTATTTCATACGTATCGTGTCTGTCAATCATCAAGTCCCTGCCAATTATTTATTCTCTATTATTTTATTTCAAGGGATGATGTAATCTTTCATTCGACACGTACCTTTATTCGCATTATTTTCTTCGAAATGGTTCTTTGACAATTGGTTATTACACTTAAATGCTCTGTTTTCATTATTTTAAAATCTTCTAAAAGTCAAACACAGTTCTGAAATTAAGTAATATATATTTAATTATGAATAATTATAATTATTAAAGCACGCACTTCCTACTTATAATTATGTTCTGTTCGTCTCATATGAAATTAACGACGAGCAACTCTTCAATTATATCTACCTATCTAATGTTGAATATTTTCAGGATTGCAATAAGGATCGCGTACTGTCATGTGATGATTATGTTCGATTACATTATTTCGGAGAGGCAAATTGTGAAAGACCAATCTCATCACTTCCATACTATAGAGTTTTTAGAAATTGTATTTCTTCTTAATTTAAATATTATTAAAACGCTGTTTTATTTTATATAGAATATATTTTCAAAACATTTATAGAAGTAAGAATAATTCATAATATTATATCATATTATCATCATACATTATTGATGCATGTAATTTATTAAAAGTGTCTTTTTATTTTAATATTTTGTTTAATGATCGCCTAGAAACAATTTTACAAATATCAATATAAACGAATGTGATGTATTTGACTAATTAAATATACAAATTATGTAATTAATGTCCGTCGTTAAAATTTTACATAAAAGAAATAATGTCTTACCAATCTGACGAAAATGAGTTTCTTAGAGCCCTAGGGATATCTGCGGATGGCCTGGTAAATAGCGCATCAAGATATTGATACGACATTCTTTTGAGTAAAATTTAAGTTACAAATATATGTATTGCTTTTTTGAAATCCATAGCAAAAAGAATCTTCAAATCCAACCCTATGTAAAAAAAAGAAGAAACCGACGGCATATGACGAGTACATTAAATTGTGCCGAAGGATTCGAATAGAAATGTTGAGTAGACCTATGTGTCGGAAATTGCGACCATGGCCAAATCCAAAACTCGAGGTTGACTATGATTAATAAATAAAAATAAAAATATGTTTATAGTGTTATGTGTAGGGACCTTTTGTGATTTCTCGTGCCGCTCTTAAAGCCAAACTTACAGATAGATTGGAATATTTAGCAATACCAAAAATAGAAAACGATAGTTGGAGAAGCTATAACTCTCCAACTAGGCCACCAGGAAACAAAATAAAAATAATTACTGATCGATTAATCGAACTGTCTCGGCCGAGACCGTTTATAGATGATATGTAATATACCTACATGGCGAATAATTAATAGCAATACATTTGTAATATTATATTTTATTATGATTAAAAGGGATGAAAAAATTGTATCAACTCGTTTTAAAAGCAAAATTGAATGGCTCACTTATTTGAAAAAGCTCAAAATATTTGGTGCACCCAGGCGAGCGCCACCAAGCCCACTGGCGCCAGTAAGATATTTACTGTTCGATGGGTTTGTGAACTTATAATATGATTTATTTTCTAACTTATTTAGAAAAGAAAGAAAAAACCATTAGAAGCAATTATGACACATCTAGAACCTTTGTCCCGACCCGTCAATCGTCCCCCGGATATGAATGAAAAGACATATGAAGAATTATACACGGTAACATATGTACCAGACACTTAGTGTCTTAACCTCAGACTGTTTTGTGACTTATTTAATTTAATTTAGTTAAGAAATTGTTTTAGATTAAAAGTTCAACTCTGAAACATAACGCCAGTGATAGAACTAAAAATTTGGCTGTTGCTAAGCAATTAAACGAAAGTACTTTGATGGATATAAACTACGATCCACGAGACAAACTCATTCATGCAAAAAAATATATTGGTAACTTATGTCACGATATGATTATAATATGCGAAAGTTATAGTTATACTTGTAGAAAATAGTGAAAACGGTTAACACGGTATGTAGGTAGGTAGTGTCATTTACCTTTAGATATTTTACTTTATACAAGATACAAATACAATACAATTTAAGTATTGATTTCGAAAAAACCTTGTGTAGAATGTTAAAGCATAAACTAACAATAGGCATTACAATGAAATAATATTCTTATCTTATTGTTATATTAAATATACATTTATAAACGTACATAAGTATGAACCCAATAGCAATATTAAATGAAACAAACTATTTTGTTGAATAAAAATATCAAACAAAAAAATGTAAAAAACTAAAATTTATGAAAATATATAATATATGATATTATAGACTAGCGAGTGGTTTTTTTTTTTAAATAATATATTATTCATATTATGTATAATACTATAATATCAATTATGTGTATACAAACCCGTACATAATTATTGCAAATCAAAAATTAAACATGTAATAATAACTATAGCAGCAGGTAGCTAATTTATTCAAATCATGTCAGCCTTGAATTGGGATCTTATAAAATGTATATAGTAGCTATTAATAGTAGTTGTTAGCATTCTCAATATTCCTTCCTTTAAACTTATGCCAAAGTATAACGTTTCCTTGAAAAATTTTTTGGTTTCAAATACTGCAGAAATACCTATTTTTTATTCCTCCTTGCCGTTATAATTCTCCAAGCAGTAAATGTTTTTACTTAAAAGATAATGTCAGTTGGTCAGGATTAACAGTTTTCAAAAGCTCTGTACACTTCAAAGTCCTACACATTGTTACAACAATTATGAGATCACTAAACCCAAACGTTACAGGTTTAGTAATACCCTTTTGAGTTATTCAAAATATTAAAATTTTGTGTCTCATAATAATATGGTTCTCTACACATACTGCACACGTGTATATTGTGTAACGTAGCAATGCTGAACAAGTGTTTTTTCTCTGCCTGCAAACACCGCGATATTAATAAAAGAAATTACACATTAAGACTTTTGTTTGGGGCGGTCTGGAAACTATAGTATTATTGTACAACTGAATAGTTGTTTTATATTTCAAAGCTTAACAAAATCTTTAGTACGAATTGACAATAAATTGCTTGAAAACATCTTTTATTTTTTTCCATGTACAGCTACAGATAGGATCAAAGAATTGTCGACACCAAAAATCAGGGAAACTCCAAAAACGCTTGATGTTAAAGCGAACGCCTTTACAGTCAATCCGAATGCATTAAAAGCTTGGTGTTCTCCGAGAATAAAACGGTTGGCCAGACCCATCATGAGAGATTAAAAAACCAAACAACTTTATAGACGGTTGTTTATGTTTTTTGTACTATCTAAAATAATAAATTACATACACACACACACGAGACTTTGTTAGTGTAGCAAGATATTATTGCTACTGTCTTGCAAACGTACTGCAACAATTCGTCAAGCAATATTTTAAAAGTATAGATACATTTGTACAAAGTACACATTGTACACCCTTATTATACCCCCTAACTATTCTAACCTGTATATTCGTATACAGGTTGTAAAAAAAAAAAATTTGATGTGTATTTATGTACTGTATGATAACTATTGATCTTGTCAATTTACACTTTTTTATAATTTAGAAACATTATAATAACTTATTAATATCTATACAAAAGTTATCACGTGGCTAGTAAATTTCATCTTGGTCCATTACTTCTAACATCCCGTGTTAGGTGCAGGTGTTAGAAATGTAAGTATTGCCCGATACCACTTTTTGTTGATGCACAAAACTCCTCGATATTTTATGATAAACCGATAACCGATATAAGTACAAGTATAACTATTATAAAATATCAGCATTTATAATTATTTATTAATAATAATAATTAACAACAGATATTAATAAACTAATGACTATAATGTCTCTATAAAAACGTTTTTAAATAGGAAAATTAAAAAAATTAAATAATCAAAAAATACTTATTAAAAAAAAAAATTTAATTGTTCTGGAAATTTAAAGGAGAATTTCCAAACTACCGACATGATTACGTAACAATAAAATGTATCATATATTACATTTACGTATCTGTCTTATCTATGATATGTATAATGTATTATATTAATAATTCCGCTAAAAGAAATAGTATTATAATGAGCAGGTACAATGACTTGGAATGACATTTATTTTATTAGGTTTTTAATTATCACAATATTATCGATAGTATGACAATACAATATGACAAACACAGTAGAAATACTATGGTAAACTGTCGTCGGCCTTATCAATCAACTGCTGGATTTGATTTTTTTCCATGATATCGGTTAAAAAAATTGAAAACGCCGATCCCTACCAATAAAACCGATAACTTCAACCTGCACATACATAAACCTGCGAGAGTATCGGATCGAATAATATCGCCTCGTCCGTATAGCTTAAACCACACCCAGTCGCGTTAAGATCGAACGGATCATAAATCATAGATCGAGTACTGGAAAAGCGGCGAAAAAGAAAATGTATAATAATATATCATTTTTTAGCTTCTGGATAAAATGTTGCGTGCATAATATTCTTTCGGCTGTCCGCCCTCACAGGTCACAGTACAATATTATGTTATGATGGTCGGTTGTTAAGGGTGAACATGTTCCTTAGGGTCCTCGCCATCTTTAACCGACCGATAAATAGGGGTAAACCAAAGTTGTCACACTTGACCCAAATCCGGTGTTTCTCTGGATCTGGCATACAATGCTCTAAAATCCCATTGTATTCCCGAGTGGCGTGGTGGCCAGACAATATTGGCCTCAAATACAAATCAGCTGAAGTGGCTGCGAAATAATACTGTATAGCGCATAAAAGTATTATACATAAATAATAATAATATATAATATTGTTTGCATTACACATATAATGACATAATACGTCAATGAAAAATGATTTAAAATTATTGTACCTCTCGGCATTTCGAACCTCGATATTGCAGGCTATCGACGATATAATATTTCTTAAGCTCAAATTATTTCTTAAATGTATAATATTATAATCAACTGATTTCCGTATGTTTTTATTCAATTGGAATATACGATTTAAACCTTAGATTTATTTCGATCAATAATAATATAATAATATTTCATTTTAATTAGCTTTTAGTCGGTGGATATAATATTACACTTACAGGTATTATGCATGCCTACCTATTTAATAGATTTTTATATTTATGTAAAATATTTTCTTAGACTTCAAATAGTTTTTGAAAGTTACTTTTGATTTGAAACTGCTTAGTAAAAAGTAGAAACAAACATTACTGATTTGTAAAATTTTAAGTTTTTAGTCGATCAGTCAATGTCAACCGAGTGCCAGTGTATTTGACAACTCAAAACTACGTTTGTTCCTAAAGGTGATATATCATTCAAAAAAAATTGTATTACTCTTCTATACAGTAAGAAAAACTCTTATAATATAGTTAAAATTTAAATTCCCTACAAAAATTCGATAAATAAAATATTAATTTACGGCCATGAGTTTATTTATGTATTTCAAAATATATCGGATCCCGTAAAAAATTAAATAAAGTTTGTATTTTTTATGAAAGTTATTTTATTTTATAAATTTATAAATATTAATTATATTATTTTATTTTTTATGAAAATGATTTAATTTAATTTAATCAAATTCAAGCAAAATACTCGCACACGGATTAAATATTTTAAAAAAGTACATATCATTGTTAAAAAAACATTTTAATCCAACATTCTACGAATTGATTAAGTCATGTGCTGCTGACGTGTCAAAGACGATGTGCGCCGATAAATATTTATTTCACACCCGTTATTCAAATACAATTAAATATAACATAGAAAGCGGAATTTCAGAAATGAAATAGAAAAATGTATCGAACTATGGATATTTTTTAATTATACAAAATATAAATACATACCTACATATTTGTTTCAATATTCGTAAAAATAAATACCAATAGTAGGTAATAATAATATTGATGTTACAGCATTTATAATCAAAATTTTAAATTTAATAAAATCTTTGCACTCAATATTTTATTTTGTTCTTTCTGTTATGAACACGTTTGGAATCTGATTGCATGCCGACATGTATGGTCAACATCCAATCTTGATAAATGGACTTGAGGTTAGCGAAATTGTATTAAATATTTAAATCTAAACATTGCAATGTTGAAAGACAATCAGCTCTGAATCGTCGCATTGACCCGACATCCTAGTGCATTATTCAGTATTGCAATTCATTGCAGCATACCATTATCATAAATGATTTTGCAAATCATGAAATGTATTACATTACTAATAATTGATATTGAACCAAGTCATATTCAATCTATTTATATTTTTCTTCTTACTTATTAATCGTACAAATAAATGTTTGAATTGTATCAAAGTTCAATTGTTACTCCAGAAAACGAAAATCACATTTTAGAACTTAATTAAAATGTTCTATCACGTAGCTTAAAAATAAAACAAAGTTACTTTCCAGCGGCTAATGACCTCCGATGACAAAGCTCTAATGCATAGAAAAAAACTTTATTTTATGTAGGTACTTCTTTTAAACTTTTATTAGTACCTATATTCAAATTATTTGCTAGAACATGGTATTCTTGATTCATCCAGTTTTTAAAATCTTGTATCTCGTATTCGGTTTGTGCTTTTAAATTAAAATGTGAGCCATTTTTCAAAAAGTTTAAATTGCTAGACTATACAACATTGTAGTAGGAACTACAACTGGTACATGCTGTATTTATTTATTTAATTAAAATATTATGACAGTCTGTGTCTCATAACTGACGTTACTGTGTATAATTATAATAGAACTTTGTTAGCGGTCTCAAAAGTTTTGTGTTAACTGTTCCATACTAAAACTCGACATGGACTCTTCTTTGGCGTGGTTCTCGTCTCTGATATCAGCTTGAATCAACAACCACTTACCTAAGAATCTAAACGGGTCCTGACGGTGTCTCTTTGACACGATGTACAAGCCCTCGACCAAAAGTGTTCCCAGCGATTCTTTGGTTTCTTCGAATATCAGATTCATGGCTTCTGTGAATGCCGACTCATTACTCATTTGCTTTTCAGTCATGTAGTTACCTAGATAATTCAAAACTTCGATAAACATTTGTCAATACTAATAATATGAGAGTGTAATATGTACGTGATTTGTTTTGACGAATTATTCGAGTCATGACATCAGTGTTTAATGACCCCGTGGGCGACGGATCAACTATTTCAGAACCGTCTAGAACACAATATTAAATTCATGAACTGTAGTACCAACAAATATTGAAATGTTGTAACTTATTACAGCTGTCACTAAAATTATCGAAGTTAAAAAACTGCATCAGAGCCTCGTCTTCAAGTATTTCGTCGGACGACAAGTGGGGAGTGGACACCGTGGAGTCATGCTCCGGCGAAGTCTCTTCACTGCTTCTACATTCTTGTTCTTCGCAACATTCTCTGTATCCAAATAAAATTAAACCATATCACTATTATGTTAAAGAATGGCCGTCATGCACAATAGATTGACATTTTTTTCCTACTAAAGTAATTTAATAGGTGTGTTAAATAAAATAAAATACTGAATTATTCACCCCGTTATAAGCTAATTTAAAATCTAATAAAAATCAGAAAAAAAACTAAAAAAAATACAAAATAATACCTTTAAGAAAAAGAAACAGTCATGTATTATTTTATTAAATATTATTGTATGGCATAATATTATTGCATGACATAATATTATCGCATTTATACCCACTCAAAAATATAGCACTGGTCCTCGACTTGATTTTCATTTTCCTCAACTTCATTGGAACCATAGCAGCTCTCATCAACTATTTCTTTTAATGTTTTTTCTGGCATTTCGACATCAGGGGTGATATACGATGGCAGAGGTCCAGAATCGCTTTCCATAATAATATTGTCTTCCGGTGCTTCGAAAGACACGTCGTATTCGTGCTCAGCGACTTTACTATTGAAACTGGATACCTCGAACGATTCGATACTATTTCGGTTCTCTACTATGCTTTCAGTTATGCTTTCCCGTAGATTGTTTTCTAATACTTTCTCTTCTGCTTCTGGAAATTGTCGGACACTGTGAAACGATTCTTCGGGGATGAGGACGATTTTTTGTTCCCCGGCGTCATCGGTTTCTTCGGTCTCTTGGTCGGTGATTTCTTGTATAGGATCTTCCATCGATTCTGCTTCATTATAAGTCTTGCTCCATGCGTTTTCCGACTTCGTATGAACTAACGGATTACTAGTGTCGTTAATAATTATTGAGTTTACTATAGAGTTGGTGGTTTTTTGAAATGTTTTTCTCGACCATTCCGGCGATGTAAATATTTTCATTATTTCCAGGTCCTGTCGTGCACGATTTCTATTGTTTTTAATATTCCCGTATTCTTTTTTCTTTGTTAATTCATTGGGATTTTGTGGTGGTGATATTGTAGCAGAGATAATATTTTTGTGCTCTTTAGTACTTAATTCATTGTAAACGTTTGGTTCTTTCTTCAAACCCGATGTAGAGTAGTGTACGTTTTTGTTGAAATTTTTCCGAACCGCACGTTCCCGTTCGACATTATTCTCTGGGGTTCCGGATAATGAAGATTCATACAATACGTGTTTTCGTATTGTTTTTCCGGACATGGTTTGTTTAAATCACAAATGTTATCTTAACAAAATATACAGAAAACTGAGCTGAAAATCTAGTGTTCAATACGTAAATATGAGAGTATCCTAGCAATATACAGTGTGTTGCTTATTCGTTTTTAGTATTACGTATAGGTAGTTTTGATCAACATAATAATATAACACTAAACATATACCGTCATGTTTTTCTGTGACATGAACAAATACTTTCAGGTCGATTATCATTCATCGAACGTCTGTAAGCCCGGCGCGTATGAGGCTTGCATTCGATATTATTTTAATGCATTTCTTTCGTCAAAAAGTGAAAGCATACACACATTTTGGATATGAAATGTATGTATTATATGGCTGTGTAAATCTTTCATTAAATTCACATATTATGACGTATGAATTACCGGTACCTCGAGCTCGGGACATATTGCGCCATTTGGATTGTCAAAACGGAGAGTTACAATATTATAATATACAAGTTAAGCATTATACAATTCAACATCGAAACGATTTGCTAAAAATAACATATGTTCAATATTATAATATAAGTTAGACACTGAAATTCAATATCGAAACTATTTGATAAAAATAAGATATGATATGGGATACTACAAGTCTACACCTGCGGCTAGTGACGATAAATAGATATCGATATTGCAGATATTGCGAAACAACTATTTTACACTGTATAATTAATGATATAAATATGATAAACTGAAATCTAGACGTTTCTGTATTCCTTAATCAGTTTTGTAATCCAATTATTTTTAGCTACGGTTTTCAACAAAATTTGCATTACATTTTATTAAAATGTTAAAATGATTTTAACTGGAGTTAAATAATATTCATAAGATAAAAACTAGACGATAACCTTGATTATTATCATAAATACGATGTAGGTGTGAAAAATTGAATATAATAATATAATTTTACATTATATAACAAAAGTATGAAACAGTTTACTTCATCAATCATCATTCATCATTAATGTACATCAAAATAGTATATGCATACATATTGTACAGGTAAAATGGTTAATCTTAAATGGTATATCTTTACAGAGGTTTTCTGTAAAATATTAAAGTTTAAAAGTTTACGTGTTAGAATTGAACTCAAATATGTACACAGCAGTCTGAAAATTATTCTTTTTGTAATAAAATATACTTTAAGGTTCTATAGTTGAGTTTATTCATTGAATGTAGAACGAGAAAATATTATTACCCGTCGCAATCATCATATTTGTGGTTGAATTGAAATAGGATTTTAGCATTTTTTTTATTCACGAAAGTAAATTAATTTAATTTCCAAAAAAAAAAATTACCACTTTTTTCTTCAGATAATTTAGTATTAAATTTATAACTGTCAACTTAAAGTAAACATATTTAAATCTAAGTTGGATTACAAACTCATTTCGAACGAACGCTCGATTCCAAAGATTTCGGTAGACGTAGAAGTCGTTTTTAATATTTATTTATGCCGCAAAACAGTTTATGACTTATTAGTTATTATGATAATATATTATATTATACTAAATAATCGTCGGTAGTATAATTATACGATTATTATGGAAAAAACTAATATTATGTTATCGAGGAAGCGTTCTCGAAACGGCGGGCACCCAACTCTCCGTCATACCTATTTCGTTATAATAGTCATTATTTATTTTATATTCGTTTTGTAGAACTATACCTGTGAAACAGAATCTTTGTGCTCGTACCTATTATAAATAGTGCAAGTAATGTGTACTGATACAAATAATAAATTATTAATTATATAACACACTCGCATTCCTGGTGTACCTACGTTTGTTTTTAATTCGCTCAAGGCTAACGTAAACCCGAGTATAGATTAATGAAATACCTCCCTCGTGTGTATGTGTGTGTGTGTGTGTGTGTGTGTGTGTGTGTGTGTGTAGGTACCTACGTCTGCGTGTGCTACGTCATGAACAAAAAAAAAATAATAATAATAATAATAATAAATAAATAATAAAAAACTAGTTGGTTGTCGATCGGTAGAGGTCGTGTCATAATTTTTTTTTGCGATGGACAATGGGTGGAGAAAACGTACGGTGGCTATTTAACCACGAATCAATTCCGTAGCATTGCCGATGAAGACGTTCAACTTGGTCGTACGCACATCAAAATATAGAGACACGACCACAACGATGAACCACTTCAGAGTATTCACCGTGAGTATAATAATATATTTATATTTAAGACTCATACACCTCACTCGCCGATTAATATCGAACGAACATATAATTGCTTTTTGATAATAATTTTTAATATCATGATTTGTTGGAAATAACGAAAAATTCAATTTTATTTCTGTCTCATTTGAATGTGTATCGAACGAACATTTTTTTTTTTTTTACGTACACCTCGTGTCAAGGCTTTTGAACTTTCCTCGTTTCGAAGGTTACTTATATAGTATACATAGTTACGTGAATATTTTTAGTGGTTCTTAATATTATGTATTATTCATATCAAATCTCTGCGGTATTTATTGTTCTCAGTCGTCAGACGTTGTAAGTAGATACCTATATAGAAATACATACTTTGTTATGAACAAAATGAAACTAACAAGCAATCGTAATATTTGATAATATATAATGCCTTTCAATATTATAATGTCCGACGTTTTTATTTTGCGTAGGTAGCATTTTTATTCAATTTCTGTAGATTTTAAATATTCAAGCACAAAAGATATTTAAGTAGGTGCCCATAGTATTTATGTAAGTACGAGTTTACTTATTATACTGTGTTATAAGGCGTGCAACAATGATATCAATGATATTCTTTTGGATGACTGCAACCATCGATTTATTTTTTTTCCTTGCAAATTTCACATAGGTCGTTCGAGTCGCAAATGCACTGATGGGACTTATCTCAACACAGAAGACATTGCGATCGTCTTAGGCCTATATTTATAAAACTAAACACAATGCGCATATAGTGCCTGTTTATTTTCATCGTTTTTCGTGTTATACCCATGTTTAAGTTGTGCACACGAACACGCGGTGAGCATAGCCTTTAAAGGCTTAGCCTGAACAAAAATGATCGTACACATATGATCATATAATAATATGCTCGCCTCCAACCATGATATAATTCATAATATCGTTGTCACAACCATCAAAAAAACGCCTAAGCTTTGGTCAAAATATTATTCAAGTTATCGAACTTAAAAATATCACCAAATTGTAGTATAATACTTTGTCACCAATCGAAACAACCATTTTATATTACGTTAATACCGTCACAAATAAGTCGCTTTAAACTATTATGGGTTATGTCTAGGCATTTTCTATGTAAGGGCAAAAAACATATTTTAATAATAAAATAAAATTATAAGTCAAAGAAAAAGTTTTCCTGAATGGCGACTCAGAATATTATGCTTTAATTATATAATCATGATAACTGACGGTGAGGGTTAGATCACTTTTGATGTTTAATACGGCCAAGGTATTTTTTGCTAAACATAATGATATAGTATTGAATATTATGGCAGCAAATAGAATAGAAACATATAATATTAATATTGTGGGAAATAAATGAATGGAGATATGAGAGAGGAATGAAAAAATTAGTCGCCCCCTCGAAATCTGCCACCCGGGGCTGTTTCCTACCTGAATACGGCGCTGATTATGATTACGAATTCGTACTAACAACCCCCATAACGAACTCTGTATTGCACACACGAAAATAGGACCTGCAACACACGCACAACTACGTCGGTTGCCGCACATATTTCACGTGGTTTTAATTTTTTTCAACAAATCATTCTCGAGTCTTGCGTGGTTATCGAAAAGGGACTCATCGTCGTCGTCGTCATTGTTACCTACTACCTCGACGACGTACGGCAAAACATAAACGAACAAACTACTTCTGAGACGAGACGTAATTTTTTTCGCTATGGTCAGGTTACCTGAAACATGAATACGTACAATAAACTAACAATACGGTACCCGCGAAAAACTGAAATTCCTGAATTCCAAAAATATCAATTACCCACAGTGATTCCCGCCGCACACGCAGTCGCACCCACGTCGCGCTGTCATTTTTTTCTCACCCCTCCAACCACCCTCACTGCACCCACACCTGCGCCCACTTCGAGTGTTGATTTTTTGTGTTTTTCGAATCGCAGGCACTAGCGGCATTCTGCGCTTGCGGCGCACTGGCCGCGCCGGCAGGACAACAACACACGGTCGTGCCGATCCTGAAACAGGTGAACCGACAGAACGAGGACGGTTCGTACAGTTACGGATACGAGAACGCCGACGGCACGTACAAGATCGAGACCAAGTACCCGTCGGGGGAGGTGTACGGCAAGTACGGTTACGTGGACGAGACCGGCAAACTTCGGACCGTCGAGTACGGCGCGTCGGCCCGCGGCTTCGAGCCGGTCGGCACGGACATCACCGTGCCACCACCTGTTCTGGGCGTCGACTCCAACGACCTGCACAGGGACCAGTCGTCGCGGTCGCAGGACGACTACGACGACGGACAGTACCGCGAGGACCCGAGCGTGTACTACAAGACGTCGTCGTCCTCGTCGTCGTCGGACGGCCACCACCAGCAGCAGCTGAGCCACCACCAGCAACAGCAACAGCACCATCAGCAGCAACTTCAGCACCAGCAGCAGCAACAGCAACAGCAACTGCGATCCCTGCAGCAACAGGCTCCCGTGGCCGCCAGGCAACAGCAGACGTGGTTCTCCGCCGGAACGCAGCAGAAGATCCGGTCCAACGACCCCGACCAGTTCCAGTCCCATCCGGCCGTGCACAACTTCGATCCCGCTACCGGATCGTTCTCCATCTCGTACACGGGAAAGTGACCGGGCGATAACCGTCCAATATAGAGTATCATAATATTGTACTCGTTATTTTTTTGTACGATTTTTCCCCTTTACTATTATACTATAATATATTGTAAGCTTTTTTTATATAAATCAATAAAAAATCTTTGTTGCCTTATTTGCACGTCGTCATAATTATTATACGTTTTGCTGCAGTATATCGATCGTTCTATCGTTCGCATATATATATTATTATATGGTAACCCGACCCACGGTATACTCTCTGTGATATACGACCACTTACGGTTCTCTATGATGATACCACGATGTCGACATCGGCGCGTGCATAATATTACAAAAATGATTATAAAGCCGCAGGTTCCCACTGCGTACTGTACCGTGCGGCGGTACAAACAAAATGTCGGTAACCCGCGTTACCAGCAAGTCGAATAATATTACATTTTTTCATTCGAATCTCTGCGGTGGTGTGTACTCCACTTGACACACTCGAGTGCGCGCGCACAATATACTGCTCTGCAGCTGACGACCGTAAAGGCGGGTTTTTCCACTACATACACGATCGCTTAAGTCCTCTGCCGTGATTGGTTGGTCGCGTTAGGTCACCGCACGATTAACCACGTTACCGTGTGGTTGGACACAGCAGATAATTTTTCTTTTCATGCAGTACACGCTCGTACAGTGGGAACCCGCCTTGATGCGCTCGCTCGCTCGACCAGGAACTGACGCCAGCGTTAAAGGCGTAGTCGATTTTCGAACCGTTTTGTCGTTTGCCTTGGTAAACCTTGTTGTGCGAATATTGAACACGTCGAATAAAATATGCGAAAAAAAAAATTATCTCCGACCACACGAACCGAATGCCATTTCCCCAGGGCGTGTTTCGGCATTGAAACGAAAGCGCGGCCAACACCCATCCTTGACATTCGCCTCGAACGATTCAAAACTCCATATGGCATATTATGGAATATTATTATTATCATCGTTATAAACGGCCGGAGACGTTAAATATGCCATGTACCTAAATGTTTTTTTTTTTTTAATCGATGGACTATAAGCGGCAATCATACCACCTATTAAAATATATAGTTTTGTTATTTATATTTAGCTGATATTATTTATTGTGTTGTAACCTAACCTAACCTAGTCGTTGATGCTGTACCATGCAAAAAAAAATAACGTTTTTGTTTTATTTTTGTATTAAACGTCGTACCTATAGGTATAGTCGTTCCCGGAGCAGACGAAAACAACTCGTTTGGTTGGGGGGTTGCAGCGGTGAAAGGCGAAAAATAAAAAATCACCACTTAATGTCATATTATTATATATACTACTACGTCTGTCGTCGGCCTTGGCGTCACCCTTTCGTGCCCGTGGAGGGGCTTCACGTTTTTAAGACCTTTTAAGTGTAGATACCATGTTTATTCGTCAGTTTATTGTCAGAGAACAACCAGAACCATGATGCTAGTCAGATCAGTGGTAAGTACGATATGTCAATATTATTTCACCGCGTAACATTATATTATTATATTAAATTAATTATTCGTCCAATAAAAACGCACAGCTCCACAGGGTATTTAAACGACATTGTCATATTATCTAAATGTAATAATAATATATTATATAGGTGCAAGTACCTGATGCCTTCAAATCGTGTCGTTTCATTTATTATTTTCGCCGGTCCGTGACGAACCGTACAAATAACAGCTGATAACTAATCCCATTAATATTATTTTTTGTTGGTACTTTTGATATTTTTATATTATATAGGTATTGTACAAGAAGTTTTTTCTCGCATACTATAAGGCCCTGGCGTGTCGGTGCACATAGCTTAGTTTTTCTAATATTCCAGTTTTCGATTGTATATATACCTTTAATCTCGTGTGTGTGTGTGTGTGTGTGTGTGTGTGTGTGTGTGTGTGTGTGTGTGTTTTCGGTGGATTCGAATCGGGAAAAAGAAAAGCCACCACCTGTACACAATATTATATACGTAATATGGTGGGACGTGATTAAAAACGATGCCGCGAGACGGAAAATAAATCTATCGTATCTATAACAATAATCTAATAATATTTTCGAGAGCATTACTGAAAACTCGGAGGAGTCTTAGTCTGCGGTTGCTATGCTATTACATTAGGTATCTTATACATATATATGATTACTTTTCTCCGACACGCGTTTCGCGGTCGCATTTGACAAAAAAAAAGCGTCCTAAGGCCCTGGTCGTGGGTCATACACCTCGGTAGTCGTCATTGTTTTGAAAATCCCAGCGGTGTGTGACCTCGCCATCGTCCGATTCTCACGATCAGACAATTGTGAAATTAATCAACAGGTGTGTGCAGGCGCGCGGGAGGTCCGATCTGGCGCCTGTCAACGGCTGCTGCAGCAGCCGCGCGTATTATGATAATAATATTGTTAAAATAATAATAATATACAGATGCGCCTCGTCCTTTTGTATCGGAAATAATGAACGCGCACTTGCTATAGTTTTTTATTTTAATTTTTTTTAAACACATTTTTTTTCTCTTTTGACTTGCAGATTATTGTGCTGTTGGGCTTGTGCACATGCTACGGTCAAAATGCCGAAGACTACAACCAGGGTAACGACCAATCGGCGGTAGTGTCGTCGCGAAAAAACCAAGATGTATCTATACTCAAACAGATCCACAGGTATGACGGAGTGTGCTCGACATAATATTAATGTTATTAAAATATATAACATAAATTACGGTTGCGAGCGCGTAATAATGTTCTTTAAAGTTACGTCCCGAGAAATAGTATAGGTATATAACTCAAAAGTGGCGAAGCGTAATTCGTATTATTCGTATTATTGTGTAATATATCAATGAAAATAATATAATATTTTGAATTAATACACGCATGTAGGTACATAAGAACTCGTTTCCCGCGTAGCTTGTGCATAGGTATTTCACTCGGTGTGAAAGAAGACAAATTACAATTTAACGTTTTTCGACGATTTTTTTCTTTCAACAATCACATTTTTTCACGCATAATGTAGTTTACTCGTTCGGTATTACGAGTAAAAACAATTATATAATAATAATTGTTTTTATTCCGCGGTGTAAATGAGCCAAGTTGCGTTTTAATTGTTATAAAAGCAGCGTGTTTTTAGAAAACTGCTCACGCGATTTCGAATAGGCTGTAGAATGTTGTATTTTTTACTAGGTATGGTGAAATAGTTATCTACTTTTGTAAATATTTTAAAGTTATAATATTTTTATACTTGATTTCAAATTTTATATGAAACTCACCAACTTACTATAGTACATAATACGTTTGTATTGACTGAAAACGAAGACGGTTTAATGGAATATATATTCGTGTTGTTCGTAGTAATTTTTAGAAAAATAACAAGTAGTTTATTATTTATAAAGTAAAAGGTTTAAAAATCTTTAATATTATACTGTCTATGGATTACATAAATTAATACAAATTGTAACCTTGTATTTAATTTAATGGTGCAGTACAACTTTTATAACTCTACAAGGTGATAACTTATTACTACCTACCTACTACTTGCATACATCATTATTTATTTCACTTTAAGCAGTCTAATCACTATTTAAAACATAAAATATATACGACGTTAATTATACAAAATAATTGGCTTACTTATTTATTACATAATAATTAGTTTAACTTACTTTAGTTTTCTAAATCTAAACCAAGCGGAAATCGTGAATTTTCGTTTACGGCAATTCATGACTAGTTTTGTTCTGGACAAGTAACGAAGATGACAACGTTTGTCTCTTATTAAAGTGCATTTTTGTCACGAAATAAGTTTACACTTAACAACGTTAATATTAATTACAATACCCACTGTACCTACGACACGAATGCACTGAAATATTGTGTAACAGTAGTATCATCTATTTAATATATTATCCTTGTATAGTATTATGATTCTCTGAATTTCAATATTTAATTACATTTCGATATCATACGATATTATTACGTATCGTGTTTAATCGGCTGATACAGTGCTGATTGCAATTATTTTACACGAGATCGTAGAACAGTTCATGTTCATATTTTTCAGTCTAGACGATTTTGAATAGACGAATAATGTACAGAGCATACGACTACCACATAGCAAATCACCGAAAACCAAATATTTTCGCTCGTTATCATTAAAAAAATACTGTCATCGTTCCTAGACGTTTATATCCGAGTTTAAATGCGCCGCAATAATAATCTGTTCATTCGCCGCGCTCGTTGTATCGTAAAGATAATAATATTATTATTGCATAAATACATTTTTCTCCTCGAGACTTACGATAATATATTATTTCAAAGTACAACGCATCCTGCTTACAGGACGATAACATAATATTATTATTTACTTAATATTTCAAAGTATGTAGATATGTACCTATATTATATTTATCTGAACCCGCCGGCTACTAATTTTCAATTTTCATCCGATTTCCCGTCAATATACGGTCGTCATAAAAGCCGACGTTTTGTGATCTAAAGAGTAATGACCTATTATCGTTGAAAACAATCACTGTATATATATAGACACACTCGACACCCATGAAACCCAAATGACGCAACTCGAAAACGAATCTCACACGTCCGTTTACGAAACGATTTAAAACGTTTCCTGTGCGGAAATCATAACCCGGCTGGGAATCCCAGAACAATGCCATTTTTATGTAAAAGTTATGTGACGAGCGCCGGGATAGGTAGGTATACAAAGTTTCACCACGCACGCAAATACTGCTACAAACACGCAATAATACAACAACAATAGTATATCGTCTATTAAGACGACGATAATACAATAAATGAAAAATTATGTCGTGTGTTTTTCTGCCTAATTTTACTAGACGTATTTTATTTGAGATTTTATTTCCCCAGCGAGATTTAATCACCAAAATAAATTATTCTAAATGATATCCCAGAGCTAGGTAGGTTAGAATTTTCAATTTAAAAATTAAATGGAAGGGCTACTTCATTTCCCTAAATCGTGATAATATCCCCCCCCCCCCACACCGGTGAAATATCGTGAATATAAAATCGTGAATTTGCCTCGTAATTCTCCAGAAAACCGACCAACAACCAATAATTGTGTTTCTTATATTATGCTTGGCAGACACAACGAAGACGGATCTTACACTTATGGGTACGAAGGATCGGACGGATCGTTCAAGATCGAAACCAAGACGGTGACGGGCGAGGTGAGTGGCAAATACGGTTACGTGGACGACTTGGGCAAGTTGCGCGTCGTCCAGTACGGTGCTAACAAGTACGGGTTCCAGCCTTCGGGTGAGGGCATAACCGTACCGTCGCCCACGCTGGTGGAGTTGCGGCCGGAAGAGGACGAGGAACAGGACGAGGAACCTGCACCCGTACCGGCCAAGAGACCGTCGCCCGCGAAACCCATGAAACCACTGTTCCGGAACAACAACAACGGGCCCGAATCGGAAGTCGGATTGGTGAGGTCACAACAACCATCACTGAAGCCGATATCAGTCGCATCCGATTTTGACGACGGCCAATGGACGGCACAGCCCGTGAGCCGACCGCAACAGTCTGCGCCGTCTCACCGGCCGGCGCCACGTCCGAACAAGTCGTCTCCACCAGTATCCGGTTCGTTCAGGGCCGTTCCCGTAGAACAGTCGTCGGACTTGGGTCCGTCAGCGTCGTTCGAGTCAATCCAGGACTTTGGTGGTAGACAGGCGACCGGAAACGGACGTGTGCAGTCTCACGTATCCTCCGTCGATCACTCGTACCAGACGTTCGAAGAACACCAAGAACCTCTGACGGAACCACCGACGTTGTACCAGCCGGTCGCCAAACCCGCGGCCAGGCGCACGTCATCGGCGTCCAGGCCAGCAGCCCCTCAGCTGTCCTCCAACTACCGTACGGCACCCAGACAGATGCGTACCAGCGGCGTTCTTGACCAACTCGCAGAACAGTACGCGCTGCCCGAGTCCCGATCACCCGTGTCCCACGACTTTTCGTTCGGTTCGGACTCTTAAGTGTGACAGACGTCCGTTTAGTTAGGCTTGTGTAAATATTTGTGTATATTTAATATGACTTTTTTTTTTTTTATTGAAAATAAACGATGTTTTTAAGTAAAATTTATATTATTATTATCGGTTGAAGTATAGGTTTTAGTTCTTCCAGAAAAAAAAAAAGAAAAAAATGTCAATCCTATTATCATCACGACTTGACACTCAGCGTGGCAATTCAAAGGTTTATTACATTATGCTTTAAATAGTATAAATATAACCATTGGCGAGCTGAAAGGCTCAATTATTTTGACGCAACTCCTTCAACTTTTCATAGGACCACCCCGCGACTGGCGCAGAGTTGCATGCTAAGGCCCGACCTCTGGGCTCTTTCGGTCACATTTCATAACTTCGTTATGAGCAAAAATGGCGGAGGGTGGAAGTGGTGTTGGTATTAAGAACTAAATTATGAAAATGCATCATTTAAAATTTAAGTTGAATCCGCCACTGAAAACAACCGCAAAATAATGTGCACGAATTTTCTAAACAATGAACAGTAGTTTGTACGTTAATATTACAAATGTAGATAAAACGCAATATGAGTAATTAACTCGTAAATGCTGGGTATATAATTTTATTAAAAATTATAGTTAATGATAATAGAACGATAATGGTATTATCTTTAAAATTATTATGGAATTGTCTTCTTTAAAAAGGCATTTTAATATTCACAGTAATCAAAAGTTTCAAAGTTGTACATATTTACTGTGTGCTTAATTAAACTTACTTATTAATACAAATATGTGTGCAGATTAAACCACGAATGAGTATAATATACAACAATAATGATTTGTGGATAGGAAATATTAAATTGAGGTATTGTCGATTTACAATCCGTTGTTATTATAATATACAAATCCATTGCTGTAATTTCGTTTTCAACTCTGAGCTTATTTAAAACTAAATTTTTAAAAAAGTATTTATATAATAACCACGTAATTATAGGCAGTTATTAATATGGTTATGAAAATGTGCGCAAAACCAGAATTACTGAATTATTTTTGGCCGTCCAGTTATTTCCCCTGCGCGGGCTGGACTTGACCCGTGGGCGGCCTATTGCCTACCCCTGTTATAAGTTGTTCTGTCTCATCCCATGCAATATTAAATTCGCTCTGGAGTTTGTTTCAGTGGCACACCGAAATTACTGTAGACTCTGGTGTCCTAACTAGTGCTAGACATTGTCTTGCCTAATCCGTCCCACGGGTTGAAATGTGTAGGCACTTGAATCCCCTCCGACAACACCCGGGAGCAATTCGAGTGAAAAAAAGGTCGCCTATACCTAGATGTGGGAGGCAATTGGAGAGTGCCCAAATATAATATCATCCCCAACCCCTCTGTTGGCGCTGGTCAGATTATATCAAATAAATCAAACATTTTCATTTTTATTTATTTTACATTTTTAAAATTTATTTATACATTATTAATTATGGTTGTGCTATTTTAATGTGGGCAAGTGGTTATTTCTATGGAGCAACGGGTGGAAGTAATCTTCTGATATTGGACTCTGTGATTGATTGTTCGCACAATAATATTTTTTTATATTGCGTTAATAATAGAATGGTAGTTCTAGGACCCCCTAGAAAAAAATCTTGGTTCATTAATAACAAGCAATCAATTGAGAGGTACCTATATAGGTTCCTGAATTAATTCCAAACCGTTGTACTTAGTTTTTAATTTATGATTGTATAGCCATTAGCCACATAAGTTTAAACGACGAATGCAATGCTAAATGTATGCACTACGTAAATATAATATTATTATACTTCGATGAATAATATGTTGGACAATGAACGATTTTAAATATGCCTTACGATTGACAATTGATTTGTAATTTTATTATTTTAATATAATGGCAATTAGTGCTGTATAAGTTACACAAGAGTTATTAAAAAAAAGTTCTACCATTATATTACAATATTATAATATATAGTTGTTCTTGAAGTTGGACTAGAATCCATTCCACTTAAAAAAAAATTATGTTTCGCTACAATTAGGAAGAGAATATTATAGATTGTTAGATGAGAGGGAATCCTCCTCTAGTGTACACTGTACACTGAAACCGCAGAAAAGAACAGAAAGAGATATAAATATATTATACCTAATTTAATGTTCGTAAAATGTAATTAGAAAAGTTATTTAATGTGATAACTATTATTGTTGATAACATACGATGATGATAGGTATGACAGTTATTAAATTGACCAGCTGAACAATATCTGGTCATTTTTTCGTCAATTAAAACAATAAATTGTGTAGGAATAAATGAAAAAATAATAATTTGAAAAATTGTATCCCATTTGAAGAACTCGTTTCAATTTTGCACGCTTCTACTATTATATTTTTATTTATCGCTATTATTATATTATGGTGGATATAGGCATATGGCCATTATTCCATACAGGTAAGTCGTAATGATGCACATGATTATACGGTAAATGCATTACGGTAAATACTATACAACGAATGATGAATGACATAATGGTAAGATTGCAGTTGTTAAATGTGTACAATATACATAGAGACCTATGGGTAATGCGCCTGCTCACATACTTTTCGTAATATTAATAATAATTATCATATTAACCTTAACCAACGTTATTCTTGCGTAATACTTACACCTTTGTCCAACAACAAAGTAATGGTCGTATAAATTATATATTACCATTTTACAACGGAAAAGTTTTATTATATTAATATTTACATTTAATAGGTGTACATACTTTTTACTCTTACTTATAAAATCTTTATTGTTTTCCATGAAATTAAATATTAATAGATGGCTTAACATATTCATATGGAGATCATGAGAAAATTCTATTAAAATATTTTCATGTCAAAAGCAACATAATTATATTACGATGCGTGATAACAATACAATTTTACATTATGTATTTTATTATAATTATTATATATTTCTCTTTCGCTACCTAATTGCCAAGAATCTTAATCATATAATTTGATTTACTTAATTAAAAACGTGTATTTCAATTACCTACCTACCAGCTTTACGAGAAATTTTAAATTAGTAATTTTAAAATGTGCTATCAAATATAATTGCCACTTCTTAAGTATGAAATCATAACATAAAATAATCACAGCAATTTATAATAATTTTAAAAAAAAATTTTCAGTTCACAAAATATATTATTTCAGTGGTCTCAAATGTATGTGGATTAGTGTGAAATTACTTCCAAATTGTCTTTGTAAATATTATAAGTATAATATTAGGTAAATAAATATAAAAAGTATTTATTGAAACTATTCATCTCAAAATATTGATATAATATCTTTAATGCGCTCAGGTACCTAACCTACATATGTTTAAAATAGATATTTTCTTTAAATTATCTGTAAGTCATACTGTTTGTAGCATTTAATTAAAAGTTGAATATCAAATATTGAATTAATATCATATTATAATCCATTGATGCGCAAAGTATCGGAAAATAAATAAGATAATAATTAGAGAAAGAATATCATATTTAAATAAGTTTGTATGAGAGGCTTTTAATTAGTTTTTAGTTTTATTTAAACATTTTATTTGATCTCTAATTATTAATTATTAACCTTATAATATTAAAAGCTTTAGCCATTATTATTTTCCTCTTAGTATTCCATTTCTATTTTTTTTTTTAAACAACATATTTTACATTTATTATCCCTACACTTTTATGAGTTTAAGCGAAAAAAGTATATACTTATAACTATAGATTTTTAACAGTAATATTTACGCACACCGACTCATCCTTGAGAGAAATAACTTCAGATAACTCGTGTATTTTTTTTATCTGTACCTAAATCTGGCTTTTCTATTTACAATATTGTAACTATTTGTTGGTAAATAGTTATTAACACCATGGTTATCTATTGTTCTCCATTAGGTACTAGTACGCTGGAAAATACTTCAAGTAAAAATACTAAAACATAAAAAAAAATACTTTATAAAAATCGGTTTATATAGCTGATATATTATTGTATATTAATATTACCATCAATCAAATTTTATAATTTATATTATTATTATTGTCGATATGTCGATCCACGCATTTAGTTCGTAAAATATATTGTAATAATATTATTTCAATTAATTAATCGCAACAAACGAAGTGCATACGTTTTAGTAGGTAAAGCTATTAATTAAATTATACGTTTTCACGTTAAAATCCGCCACGTCCACTTCTGCAGACGGCAATAGTGAAATAAATTCGGCAACGAACGTTTTAAATAAACGAAACAATAATTTATATTACAATATGGTATATTTAGTATCGGCTTGTGTACGTACGAAATCGTCAGTGTAATATTATTTTCATATCATTTTTTTATAATTGTATGTGTATAATTATAGTCGCGTGTGTTGTAACAATAATTATTGTTAATAATTAAAACGAAGAGATCGTCGTCAAGTAAATATTATAATAATATAACTAGCTGAATTACCCGGCGTTGACCGAAAAAACTCCTTTTAAGCATTCTAGGTGTAAAACACTGTGGAAGCAAAGTCTTTTTAAGTGTATATTATATCAATTTTTAATGTGTAGCCACATGTGTTTTTTGGTTTTTTTCATATTTACAATATCATGGGAAGTATTGTTGAGTGCAATACATTTGTTGTGCTTAGTAAATCGTTTTTTGCTTTTTTTTATCATTATCCGGCTTCATCGGTGTGTATTTTTTTTCATATTTACAATATTATTTTAGAATATATTATGAGTGACATTGTTATTCGTTGTGTGCAAAATAGTCTTTTTGTGCAAAGCCGTTTTGCATTCTTTATAATACCTCCTTGTATACAATATTTTTTAGTTCTTCCTTCGGGAAGCAGTATTACCAGACTATCAGAAGAGCTTATACGTGAAACAGTCATTCCTTAAATCCACTCCTGCCACTTTCAAAGACTGTCCGGCGCTTTTTCAACTGTCATGGCAAAACAAACCCTGACGGGAAACTACCTTGAGCGGTAGTCAGATGGAATCAAAAGTGTTCTTGGTAGAAAAACTGTTTCTCCCGTACCGCGGCCTGTAAAGACGGTTGCTTCAATTAGATTTGTATGTAAGGTCTTAATCCGA